CAGCATTTGCGCCGGTACGTAGCTCGAACCAGATTGTCTCTTCGGGAGAAAATGGGAGTTCAGAGGACCAAATGCTGCCGGTAGTCCTTTGAGACCATCTTTTTTCTTAGAGTGTATGAGTGTCGCATCTCAATTTTATTAGCTGTTGTGATTGTTTTTGAGTTACAGACAGGGCAATTCTGAACCTTAAAAACGACTACCATAGCATTAGCCATGCTCCTAATGGAAAGAAAGAAGCTGTAGACATCTGGTCATTACCAGGAGGCGCTACCAGGGCGAAAGCTCTAGTGCCGCGTGCGAGGGCGGCAGCCATTATCTCTCGTTTAGATTCACTGGCAGGTTCTATGCTGTCCACATACCTTGAATCATTATCTCAGTTTGTTAGGCACTGTTTTAAAACCAAGAGAGAGAGCAACTCCCTCTTTGCCTGGCAGCAATAACAGACGTGTGAGGCCAATAATTCAGTTTCGAAGACGTTAAGAGACTTTCGAACGTACTTTTTCGTTGGCTAGTTGGTTCCGAACGATTTGAATCGTGGTTAAAAGCGCTAAAAAAACGAACACAAGAGAGAGAACAAACAGCGGTGCTGGCATTGTTGTTAATCGAGGAGACGAAGAAACCGAAGTGGCTTTAAGGAAATCTCGCTGCCTGCTAAAGAAACAAATCGGAAGTAATCCAGTTTGAAATGAGCTCAATGTGCATCACATAGCACTTCCCTCAATAATTCATCCGACATCCTCAGAGACGTGTTATAAGATCAGGAAAGTCGGACCACAAGGCTCGTAGCATCGTACTGCATTTTTATTTAGCGTAAAACTGGAGCGTCGTTCTTCCGCGAGCGGTAGAATGCTTTCATCGGGAGAACCAAATTGTGTCTAATTCAACCTGTGTTGCTACAACGGAGCGCAAAATCTGCAGCTTCAGAGTCATTAGCTTCTTCATTGAGCACGATACAGCACACGCACTGTTCGCTCTGCATGCAGTTGAAGAGTCACAGGTAGAAAACATTAAGTAATTTACAGAACTTGTCCACATCTCTGACGTGCTGGCTAGTCATTTAAAACAATAGGTTTTCACTAAAAGAGATTGCGAAGAGACAAGAGGTTTGTCTGCTACGATGCATGGCGGAAGTGCATGTGATGGTCTGTGCGGAGTCCTCAAGCACCCAGCCTCCTGGCGAAACCTGAGGCCGTCAGAACTGGAAATCATTGTAGATGCTGGTGATTTTGCTCGTTAGGGGCCCTGAAAGTGCCTAGAATTGTACTCCTCAAAATTGAAGCCGCACGCCTCAATGAATACCGTGACACAGACACACACAAAAGAATGTATAGAATTATTTCTCTTGTAAAAAAAAAAAACGTTCATTCCTGCCACGAGTAAATGAAGGCTTCAAGTAGAAACGGGTTTTTCAGGAATCGGATAAAAAGATATTGCGGATCATCAAGACTAATCGTAACCTCATTTAAAATAACTTTTTCTTTTATCACCGTAAGCATTACTGTCAGTTTATAATGCTAAAGATGCTATGTAATGGTAAGCATTTCCCTCTTATCTAACTTTGTTTTTTCCTTAAACCAAGAAACTTGAAAAAGTTTTGAACGAGTTTTACCAGCATACGGAAAATTCAGTCGCTTAAAAGAAGCAGAATTAAGGACTCGGCCTAGGGCGATCTTGAAAATGCTTTTATCGCTCTTTCGTTGCCTGACATAAAAAATTGAAAAAAAAAAGTTCCAATAAGTTCATTTAAAGAAGTGTTGTGAATTTTACATTTTTATAAGTAAAGTGGAAAGGTGCATGAACTTTATTTAATATTTATAAGATTCCAGTCATGCCTCGTTTTTACTAAATGGTGTATGAGCTTAAATAACATGAACAGCATAGTCACGGTTCAATAATATAATCAATAAGGTAGGTGAAACATTGCAACAGCCCATATTATTTTTTCTCAAGATGAAGGATAAATAGGGCTTCTTTTTTAAACGCACTCAGTAGTAGGACGAAACCATATATCTCGAAAATGTATTAATGCATTTAAAAACACAAAAATACTCTTTCATATATATAACAAACATATATTTTTTATGACATTAAATTTTGTATTCAATCTTTTATTCTCAAGTTTATAGTGTTTTTTCTTCTATATGAACCATCTTTAAGGTAACATTACTATAATTTTTAAAAACAGTTAAATACAAGCGTGCATTTGATATAATTATTACGCCTTAAATAATTCTATATCTAAGGTTACCTCGATTAAAACATGAGTCATAATTTTCAAGCGTGTAAGATTCGAAAAAAAAAATATATAAAAATGATTACGTTTAGAGAACTTGTCATTTCTATACGAAGTTTTAAAGCAATCAAAATGCTATATTCTTGGGACAAAACCAACCTAAGTATTTCAGGACTACAAAATGTGTCACTCGTGAAAACCGAAAAATTGGCGTTACCTACATTGCCCTTTTCCGAAGCCCAAAACTCAAGAGCAAAACACAGATGTACTGGAACTGGCATGCCGTTTTGGACAGAAGACGTAAATGTTTCCCTACTAAATTTAGCGGGTAACTTAATTGGTGTACAGGTCACGTGACGCCAGTTTCCCGCACAATGTTTCGAGGCAACTTGAATTAATGTTTTGGCCACAATACCTGAACTTCTGAAATTAACTTAGCGTGGAAAATGAGTTGACGTATATGTCACGTGAAGTCATTTTTTCAAACGTTTATCGGTCGAGTATATATATAATGTCCCGTGACGCCACGTTCCCGTTATATTTAGTGAAAGATGCGCGGACGGACGGATGGACATTATATTGAGGTAAAGCGTTAGCGTTAAAAAGTGGTTCATGCTTTAAAACAACTACGATGACACGAGAAAAAAGGCAGCACTTTCCGCAATTCAAAGAGCTTTCTAAATATGGAATGTCAATCAGTTTTTTTTTCTTAAGTTCTTAACAGTTCACTAATTTTTACAGTTAATGAACTGTAAAACTTTTTTTTCTTTTTTTTGTTGACACAGGTTGATTGAAAAACGGTTTCGATGATAGAATTTTTGTTTTGGTCTGTATTAGGTGCAGAGGGCTTTTGAGTCGGAAGTGCGAACTATGTTTAGTATAGAAGGGAAAGATATCTATTTGTTGAAGTATGAATTTGGATGGATGTCGCCTCATCGCGCCGACCTGTAAGGTTGACCATGCTCTTGCATTGTGTGGTGGAGACTCTGGCGCTTGAACTGTATAGAATTGGCCCGTTTGCGTTGGTGGAGTTGACTTTGAGATTGAGACTATATAAGGAGGTGGACGAAATTATCGTGTTAGCTGAGTATGGTACGTCGTCCTGTCAATTTCCTGTATCTTCTAAGTTTTGATGTTTTCTCCCTACCTCAGTCTCAGATTAATTCAACATGGAGGATGGAAATTTACATATGGTTTCGGCGGTGCCGATTTAAAGAGGGAGGTCGTGCTTTCCTTGGTGGAGGCAGTTGCCAAACTTGACTGGGTTACCAGATTCGAAACAAAGCGACTGCACTCTGCCACCCCTGGGGCGGCGTGCCAGCCGGCAAATTCGGGAAACTATAGAAGTACGCTCCACTCCAAAACCACGCACTGCCGTCGCACTCCTGCTGGAGTGGCGCCTGTGCACATGCTTCATTTCCCGCGAATCAGGTTTCAGCGCACGCGATATTGCTTCATCTGGTGTGAAGTGCGGGATTGTTAGTAAGCAGCGTGTTGGTTCATCGAAAAAGATTCGGCGCGGTCATTGCTCTATTTAATGCGAACAGCCCGAATGCCCTTTAACCACATTAAAGTGTTTACAAGAAGTATAATTGATTTCGAGCGCTTTTACCCTGTAGATTCAGTTTTCGACTTTTCCTTAGCAACAAGCTGGTACACTCTCGAACGCATACATTCACTGCGCTTTTACAAAATTTGCTAAATACGACCAGCTTTCTAGAAACAAGGCCACTATCACGTTTCCCGATTACAAGCTTTAGGTTGTAAATAATATTGATTAAACCGAGTGCCACCAAAATGCACATGGAGAAATATTTAAAGAACCATTTCATGTAACTATAACACAAATAAATAAGCAAAATAAAAATCCCAGGACACTTAAGCAGTTCTCATGTGTAGTAAATGCGTTTGCATGAATGTCATTGTACCGCTCCCATTGTTCGTCTGCGGTGCACTGGCGGGGACGGCAACGTTTCGCTACTGTCGAGTCAAAGACCGCCGAGAATATAGATGGCTCTGGTGCCGCCATGTTCCTCAAGTCCGACAGGAGCAGAAGCGGCCGCAACCCCCCCTCCCCCCCCCCTCCCACCTTCCCCCCGCCCCTGGGGCAACGCCTGCCACGACAGCGGAGGCCAAGTGCGCACTCTCGTGACGCGGCTGCCAAAGGCTATCTAGGAGGCGTTTCGCTCAGCTAATGGGAGGATGACATTTCTTTCGCGTTCTTTCCCAGTTTCAGACGCCGCCGGCTCTGCTGCATGGGACACTATTTGCTTTCACATTAAAATTACACTCTCGCAATGAGAAACTACAAAATCATGTTTTTTTTTAGCAAAAAAAAAGGAATATTAAAGGTTCCGGTACTACAATGGGGAAAACATGACTGGCTTCAATTTAACTAGTGACTGTGCCGTACACAACTCATAGCGGCATAAAGTGCTGTCCGCATAGCCTCCAAAGTTTGTTAAGTGCTTTCTTGCAGCTGTCATTAAAGCTGGTTTCGCGGAATTAGCATTCGAAAAATCAGACCATTTATTTCAATATGCAGTCACCCTCGACGCGTGACATGTTCTGAGATAAATGTAAATTGATTTATATCTGCAATGTTTAGTGAGGGGAGATGAAGGTTTATATTTCTGTTTTTTTTTATATTGCAGCATCAACTATCTCTCTTCTCGTGATCGGCCTCCTGGTATTCGCCCTGGTTATGATCATTATCAGGTTAAACAAGCACCATCCCAAGCCATTATATCATGGCTATCACTCAAGAATGTTGCCCGGAGGAAAAATGCTGAAGATCTTGGATCGCCACGTTTTGGCGTACCTCAATGTTCAGTACGGTCGTGTGACAAAGCGATTTCAGCGCGCCCATCTTGTGAAACGTTCTGAAAACACTGCAGCACCCAAAGACACCAACGAACGACTAAGATCAACATCGTGTGCCCAAGTCCATTACAGTCCTTTTCCCTCGTATCCATTCCCAAACTCCATCGACCTTGAAGATTGTCTCTACGTCAACATTTGGGCTCCAGTAGATGAAAACAACGACGCTTTTAGACCCGTTGTGGTTGTTCTTGCCGGTGGCAATTTCAACGCCGGAGGCAGCGGTGACTACGAGTTCTACGATGGAGCCATTATGGCTGCCCTGTGGAACCAAGTTGTGGTGACTCCAAACTATAGAGTCGGACTCTTTGGGTTCTTAAACGAGCTCGCAGTGAACGTATCTGAAAACGTGGCCATAGCAGATCAGGAGCTCTTGTTCCGATGGGTTCAGTCTTACATACATTTGTTTGGCGGATCTCTGAAGCAAGTAATCCTCCTTGGACACGAAGCCGGGGCTACAATGGCGGGATACCACATTTTTTCTTCCCAGAGAACTCAACTGTTTAGAAGGTCTATCTTGATTAGCGGAGCTCCATGGCGTCTACTTCCTACAGATACGGAAGCCAAAATCAGCTCCCTCTCTCGTAACCTGTTGTGCACAAACGAGAGGCAGACAAGAGCAGAGGACGTTGTAGCTTGCTTGAGGAAAAAATCGGCTGAGAGCATTGTATTCGATCAACAAACACCTACCTTGGGCGGCGCGCTTGCTGCCTTCGCCCCCACGTTCAATGGCCGACTCACTCCGCGATATTTAATAGCACAGCCGAAACAAGATCACTTATTTAGAAGCCAAAAAGAAATTTTGATAGGTTACACAGAAAACGAAGGCAGTGCGTATACTACCGCGTTGCTTGCTCACTATGGCATGAAACATGAGAGCGATCTAGATATTAACACGGGAGTTCTTATTCTAAATTTGTACTTGAAGCTCCACGGGGCTACAAGTTACGAAAATGTTGTGAATCATTACATGAAGCAGGCAGGTAGACGACCAATAGAATCCCTACAAAAGGCCATTGGGGACTTTGTCGTCCATTGCCCGATGAACATCTTTGCGAAGAGTTATGCGAGCTCGGGAAAAGACGTGTACATGTATCATTTTAAGCACGTACCGCAATACCGATGGTGGCCGCTGTGGATGGGGTCGCCGCAGATGCTGGACTGGTTCTACATTTCCGGAAACCTTCTAAAACTTAAAGATAGAGAAGTAAATGTCGAGGACGGCGATGTGAAGCTTTCACAAAAGATGGCCAGCCTGCTTGCCTGTTTCGCGGAAACAGGGTAAGTAATATTAGGATTGTTTTTCTAACTTCTATAATGTCTTCCCAACAGAATGTCACCCGAACAGGGCGGCTGCATTTACAGGTTTACCAGAGTGATGAAATTGGATCTTTCTCGCAGGCGTATGTATTTAAGGGGATTTCAACAAATTTTGTAAAGCTATATTAGCGATAAAGTGTTTTTCGCAGAAATGCACTTAGTTGCTCAAATAGCATGTGTTATGCGATTATTTGTATGCTTGTAATATAGACTTTTGACTTGGTGCAATCGGTTTCTGCTCCAGCAAAATGCCATAGAAAAATGTTCCATAGTCTCAGTAGTCCATAATAACCAATCAGCGACAAAATACATATCTTAAGAAGTGTAACAATGACAATATACAGAAGGTGAATTTACCTAAAAAAGTACAAGATGTAGATTCGTACTCACCAGGGTGTCAAACTGGTTTTTATTTCGGTTCGTTTCGGGTTCTGGTTCAGTAACATTGTATTTTGTTCCGGCTCGGTTCCGGTTTAGGGCAGCGGACATAATATCACTCCGATTATCGGTTCTATTAAGCGCGAACCGGGCCCCACCGGTTCTTGCCTTGACCTCTGAATATTGACTGAGCACTTCCTGCAGCTTTTTCAGGGGCCCGAGATACTAGTCTTAGACCCATTCCAAAACTACTCCCTCATCAGGTAGATATAAAAACCCTGCACAGTGACGTAACCAAAAGACACCATTGATGTGGCAAGGCTATTACTAGCATACAAATTTTCTTAAGTGAACTCTATACCACAGCTCGGCTTTTCATTTTATGATGTCTTTCGCACACGCACCTATTCAGTACTTCAAACTCTGCCAGAAGAGGGCGTAGTTTCGGTAATGCTCTGTAGACCCATTCAAAAGAGAGCTTGTGACCGGTGTTATTTTCAGTGTTGGGGCGTATAGAGCGTGCTTTGATCGCTTTCCGAAGCGACAAACACGCGCCCCTATGGAAAAATCTCATGTATCAGAAATTTCTCAGTCTAATAAACACAAATGTACCGTACAGGATATATCAGAACCATGTCAGAACTAGATAGGAACTATATCAGATATGTTAGGACTAAAAAGAAATTTGTGAGAAGTTTATTATAAGTTTCTTATGTAGTTCTTCAATGTTCTTATATATGTTATACAGTTCTTTTATAATTCTTATATGTTGCTATATATCTTGTATGATTCATAGGTGTTTATGGGACACACAAAATTTCTTATACAAATTGCTTTTTCACTAGGGACGTGCTGGGCTGGGAAGATCACACGATGGGCAGTGATTTTGTAAACAGTAAAACGGTATCTAGCTCAATCGCTTGCGCATTATTAGTTTTTGTTTGTTTTGCTCTCCACAAACCTGTTTCTTATACTTGCTACCTGTTTTCGGCGCCCAGTGAGATGTCACAGCAGGGTGATTTCAGTTAAGGTCCACCAAAGGGTGGCTGGTCGACATTTTTAGATCAACTGCATTTTTTTATATGCCATTGCCTAGTGTCTGGTATAAACGAATTCAAACTTAGCTTTGACCTGAAAAAAATATTTGAGGACAGGAAACATCGTAAGGCACGAAGAGGTGGACAGTTGCATTAACGCGCACTGATGGAGGGGGCACGTTTGAGAGTGAATAACTAAAACGATAAAGTTAGGAGAATTCTAATACTTCTTCGACGAAAACTATTGGTACAGCTTGGTTGTAATATAAAGAAATAATAATTATTTAAGTTTTGTTTATTTTTCTAACAATTGGCAAACATGCCCGCTCGAACGGAAAATGGCGAAATTCGGAAGCCTGTATCTCATAAAATAATTTAATAATTATTATATAATTTGCAGCAAGTATTCTACTCATATATGGCTATTATTTACAAAAAAAAAGAATGTATCTGAGAAATATGATAGTCAGGATATATTTAGGCAAACATGGAAGAAAAATCAAACATAAAAAAAATTCAGATGCGAGCAAAAAAACACCACCTTCAATTTTTTCAAACTTTGGGTACGCTGTAACACTCTATTTCGGCATTCATTTGTACTAAAACATGTTGGATTATTTTATTGAGAAAGAAGAAACAACTCCCCAAATTAGGGTCCTTTTTCAAAGTCTACACCTAGCAGTGCCCTACACAAGATGTGACCCTGATCTCCAGTTTTATGAAAGTAACACACATCTCTTATGTATTTTTATTCTGATGAGGTTATTGATAACTATAGAAATCGTTCACACACTAAAACTGAGGAGAAACTACTGTGTACAAATAACTATCATATTACGGACTAGATATCTGAAAAAAAATCCTGCAGCCATCGGCCAATCAGAACTTTGCTAAGTTTATTTTCCTACGGCACTATACGCCCCTCTCTCTTACCCTCTATCTCCATCTCTCTCTCTCTCTTATATATATCCTTGACTTATATCTAGAATAAAAACGTCTTTCTGCATGATAGTGTTCTGTGTCTAGCAACAATCATTCTCTCTCGAAGATCACGATTATGGCGCAATAGCCCCTTTCCGGAACTCAAACTGGCAACCTTGATTACTATCATCATCAACTGAAAAATGGCATACGTGCTATACTAATGGCGGCCTTCTGTTTAGTGATGAAGGAAGAAGTTCAAGATGCTCCTAAGCAGATGATTCGATGATTATATATTCTAGATGTTAGCGCGCCGTGAAGCAGGAGTTGGGTGCAAGAGCTGCGTAAGCCTTCATTTCTAACTCGGACACACTCAATCTGTTAGTCGCACACACTCGGCTTCAAAGCCCCTTGATGCATAGGATTTTATCAAGGCGTCTATGCGGGCTGGCGCTTTGTTCGGACGCATCTTTCTCGCCACGGACACTAAAAGAAATTTAAAAAGAACTGCACAGTGACGCGCGCATTATCATTTACCGCCGTAGACTTGCGAAAATGACAGTACCCCATACAATACTGCAGACCACAGGTTCATTGCCGGCATTAGTACGGTAAAAGCTAAAATGCCATTTGAGTCACCAGATGGCACTGAATTTTGGAAAGGGTCTATAGTTGATGGAAGTAGCAGACGACACTCCTCGCTACTTTTGGCAAAACGGCCAATACAATCTTCGCATTTCTCCTCTCGCTGTCAAGGGTGAGGGGGTTCACTTCAACCAGCAAAATATGGCCGCCGATGCCTGTTTACTGAGCAGTCGTGCCTGTCGCCATACCACTCGCTGTCTTCGCGGGCGATAATATCAGGCACAAAGAGGCACACCAACACAGAGCAGAACCCCCATATACTTAAGCCCCGCCTAAATACAATAGAGCGTAAACACTGTCGCCATGTTAACCTAGGAAAGGTTAGCATGGCGACAGTGTTTACGTTTTAGGTAAGGAAAAGCACTGAGTGTGGCATGAGCCGGATTCTTAGACGAGGTGCAAGGTGGGCCCTGAGAGCCTGTCTGCTGCCCTAGAGTACTTCGCGAAAGACGAGCTACAATGTTCGCGCCAAGGTAACAACCAGAAGGACGTGATCTCTGTCATGCACGACGGAGAGAAAACGTTCGTGCCAAGGCGCTTCCTGACACGCTCATCTGAGAGGCATTTCGTGTATACAAAGACAAGCATCCTGATTCCGGTTTTTGTATAAACGAAACTTTATTCCTTGCGCCCTAGTCGGGTCAAATGTGTTCAACACAAGGAAATGTGCGTTTGTGTGCGGTGCGCCAAATATTACCTTTGTATTGCCGCTGTAGAGAACGCTACAGGCTCAACATTCAACACTGGTGAAGTGAATTCAGCATTTCTGTGCGGCCCACTAACAAGTCTGTGTCTTTAAGCAGACTGTGATAACTGCCCAAAAGGCCAGACTCTTACACTGGGAAAAATTTGTGTACTATAGGATGAAGAGATTGTGCTTCCCGAAGGAAAAATCCATCAATGCAACCCTGTTTGGCAGTCAACGTTTTCTAGTTCATCGCTGACTGTGCCTGACTGTACGTCAAGCATGAATGATTGGCCAACAAGTTACTCTGACCGACAGTCAAACTCAAGTCAGACTCCACTTGTCGACTTTCGGATGGTTTCCTGGTGGCAGCCGGCCGCCGCGAAATGCCATCAGGATGTCTTGGTGGCGATTCTGATTGTATATCGATTGTCTCTGACTGTACGTCAAAAAGCTTTGACGTGCAGACAGACGTACGGTCAAAGGACGTAAAGGTCATTCGGATACCACTGTTTCGTCAAATCTATGAATACGAAAAATAATCTATGCACAAGAAAACGATTTCGGGACGTGAGCCCATAAAACCGCTGATGTTAGAGATATGACACGCAGCCGACCGTCAACCTTGATCAGAAGCCCCGCCGAAACGCTGCCGAACACGCCACTTCTCTTCGCCCATAGAGGCTTCGCCGCTTCGCCGAGCTTTCATGAACGATAGCTCTCGACTCGTTTTGTTTGCCCGCTTGCTCCAACCTGTCGATCCTGCGCGGGCTCTACAATGTCTTATGTTTTAGTAGAATTTCTACTCGACAAGACCCAGCCTGTTGTGAGTTCCGACGATGTAAGAGACTTTAGCGGTGCAGTTGGACAAGGTGTACCAGGTCTACTGGGCCGGAGACGCGCGAACAAAAGGATCGTTCTACGACGCGAAAGCACTCTACATGGCAGGTGAGAGAACTGAAGTACGGCGAGTGATGTACGAGTGCTTTGCATAACATGCTGAAGACTTAACTGCATTTGCAGCCGAAGCATCTCGTATAAAACAAATGGTTAAATCGAGTTTCCAAAGAGGTGGTATAGCATAGGGGTTAAGGTGTCCAAATTGTACGCGAGTGGTCGCGGGTTCGATCCGCGGTGGTCCTGCTTTTTTTTCTTTTTTTTTTCTCGAACATTTTGTTTTATCGAAGCATTTGACGATATTTATGAGTGCGTCTAGCTTTATAAATGCTGCCCTTGTTGATGAAATTCCCTTGGCAGTGGCAGTCAGACGTCATCTGATGGACCATCAGATGACGTCTGATGGTCCATCACGTTCCACCAAGGCTGCTGACTGGCAGTCAGTGTCCTAAATTACGTAGCCTGGTGGAATTTTCATAGGGTTACAACATAAGAATCCGGCGATCTTGTTAAAAAAAATAAATTGGATTCTGAGACTTTTTGAAAAGTCGTTCA